CCACGCGCAGGTCCAAAAAGTCCCATATTTTCTCTAAAAATCCCTCCAACTTATTACTATTATTATTTTTTAATTCGTTAATTTAATCGTTTATTCGAAGAAAAAAATATACAATATTTCTGTAAACATGGACAACTTTTCGTGTCGATAGCACAATACCGATAATTTTATTGTATGTAATTATCTTGTTTCCCAAAAATGCAGACAAAACCAGACCTTAGGGGTTTAGATGTTTAGATGTTCGGATTTCGGAACAATACTACACCAACTCAAACATTTATTTTTATTAGTTTTAACATCTGTTTCTACTCTGTTGACTGGTCACTCTCAAGAAGACCATACAATGATACGAAAACAATATACAATTCAAAAGAGTTCAAGACAATTTATTGTAGGGTCTTGAGCAGGTACGTGCAGGCTTCACCAGTAGGCTTGAACGCACATCGCCGTCTATATCAACCGTTTCATCGTACAGCATTATACGATTATAGCTGACAAAATTTTACGTTTACAATTAGAAAAATGAGCGCCTTCATAATATAATATCAGGTCAACAAAATCAAACAAAACCAACCAAAAAATAGCAAATTACAAAAAATTCCGCGAAAATAAGGAAAAATCCCTTTATCCCTCGAGAACGTCGAAAATCCCTCGAATCGGGATAAATCCCTCGAAGTGGCAACACTGATGTTCACCTACTGGCCGCGAAAACCTTTACCAATGATGAATGAATGAAGGTAAACATCTACAAAACCGTAAACTTTATGAAAACTACTAGTTTGTATTGTATGTACTTCTGAAGATTACTCGGACCAGACTATTTTTATGTGTATCTACATGGACGCTCATTTTTACGTACCTATTTTGTATTAAGTAAATAAAAACGATAAAAGAAAGGAGTTTCATATTTATATAGATTGTAGATGCAGCTTTCGAACGATGCATGCAGTATATAGTAGGTACCTTAGAATAGTATTTCAATTTAGAAAGGAAAACATCTAGTGCCGATGCAAGTAGATACAACGAAAATATCGAAGGATAAACATAGTTCATTGAAAGAGGGTTAAATCTGCAGAGCATGCTAAATAACTAAATCCTGATAGCGTGTTGTGTAACGATATGGAGCTTAAAGAATAGCTGTACTTCAGAATAAACTTAAACTTTATCTCAGATGCCATTTCTGAGTAGAATGGAATGCGATTTCAGTATGTTTTTCATAGGAATAAAAAGAAATAAAATTACACTAATATTTAGATTAATATTAGAAGCGTTCGAAATGTGATTTCACAGGCGAATGATGAGGATACCGTGGATAGAGAAGGTTATAAATGAAGAGGTATTAGAAAGAATAGGAGAACAGAGGATCCTACAGAAGTCAATAAAAAATAGGTGAGATAGGTAGGACATCTTCTTAAACATGAAGGTCTAGGTAGAGACATATTGGAGGCAGAAATGGGAATTAGAAGGGGTAGAGGTAGACTTAGACCAGATTACTGTTCGCAAATAGTTAAGGATGTGGTATGTCCTAGTTTTACAGAAATGCGAAGATTAGCTGAGGGTGCATGTTCAACCAGTCTTGAAAATGGGTGAAACTCATTTATTTGCAAAGCAAAGAGGTATTCTCTACCTCTCCAATAAAAGAATCTGTGAATAACCCTGGTTGTTCCAGTTTTAGGGAAATGCGAAGATTAGCTTGGAATAAAAAAGGGTGGAGGTGTGCGTCCAATCAGTTCTAGGACAGGGTGACGATGATGAATATTGATAAAATCGTTAAAAAAATATCATAAATACATTCCAGCTTTTGTGACCGTAGTATATGGTTAATGTTAGTGCTATCGAGTAATAAAACGTCATTTATTTGACGTTTCATCTTTAAATTCTTCATAGGTTGATTACAGCAGCCTATTAGACGAAGCTAAACTTTGACAAACCAATCTATGTTCCACGAAATTTTAACTATTTACTTTATATATCCATAACGTAGTATGTATACTCCACACATTTTTATGATGATCGCATTAAATTATGTCTGATCATCACACCCAAGAGCATCTCCATATAAAGTTTCGTTGACTTTTATAGCCAAGGATTTGTACCTTGTATCCAACAATCAACCCTTAAGGATTTAATATTTGCAAAATAATTGCAAAAATCATGTTTTTCTTTAATTTCTTCGTATATCAACTACCACACCCCTTTTTTTAAATTGTATTTACTCATACAAATTCTAATACCGTTTTATTTGTGTCAATTTAATGCAAAACTGACTGAATTTTTTCCAGCTGTATAATTGTAAAACATGGTAAAACTTTAAAAACTTTAGAACTTTTCAAAACATTTTCTTCTAAAGTAAACCAGTCATTTAGGATATGTTGTGCCATCTGTTATGGCCAATCCAAAAAGAGCAGCATCAGAGTTACAGTTTACAGTTAATTAATGTATCAAGAAGATTCCTAGTTAAAAATAGATTTACAATCAACTAGATAATAAATTTCATTTCAATCGCTAAATTATAGATTTAATTGTTACTAAACCAAAAAATACTAGAACGTTATTTCAAAACAAAAGTTAGTAACCATGACAATGTTGCTTGTTATTCTACGCTAGATTACACTGGCAGTCAATCCGCGACAACGTAGAGAAGAATCAGTTGAAAAAAACTTTTTATAAACAAATAATCCTGAGAGAGTCATGCATTTGAATTTGATGCGTTTGACAATTAATTAAATATCGAAAAAAATAAATATTCCAACAAGGAATATAGGTTTCTGTAATCACCTGTATTTGTGTCTACTATGCGCACGCAACTAATTTTTGTCATCTGTGAGTTGTTTAAACATGTTGGAGCCAAGCCGGGTTATGTGGTGTAGTTCTGCTATTTTATTTAAAAAGAATGTCTGATTTTCGGAGAGAGTCTTTAATTTCGTTAGGAACCAAAAGTGCGAATAATGACAAAAGTCAACCAGTTAAACGAAGTGTACGAATTTCGGTGACATTACCAGAATCTACTGAAGACGGATATCCACAAATTAACTTCAGGCAAGAGCTGGCTGCTTGGGAGGTAAGTTATAACAGAAAATGGTTACGATTTCAGCACTAAAGCCCATGCGGTATTAATAAAATACTTCTTCTACAAAATCCAGAGCTTGTGATAACCCTCTGACCATTTCAACCCCCAAAAAATCAAACTCATACCGTGACGAATTACTGGACATATGGTGCACCCAGGCAAATTTAGTTTTTTGTTATCCAAAATCCTTGCAGTTTGCTTCAATTTATATAGCAAAGTGTTCATCGTAGACGCCATGTTTGAAGGGTATTAAAAAAATAAGACTCAAATACGCTATTTTATCAGCACAGCGAGTGCAGACCGAACCTCCTGTCGTTTAGTATCTTTACGAAAATAGATTTGATAATGTCAGTCATTCGATGAATATCTTTTGGATTTGTAATACGAAAGTGTCTTCAGATGCACATCTCATTGCAATCGATCTAATTTGTGTTTAACAGTGATCCACGTGGGGTAGTCACGAACTCATTCGAATAAGCATGAGTGGAGTAAGTTGCATTACACATAAAATGCCAGCATTTTGAAGTTCCACAGTCTAAATATATAGGCTTACTTTTCCACAAGGCCGTGATTTTTTCTAATTTTTGTTTGTTTAATTTCGAATAATAATAATCGATGACAAAGACGGAACGTCATTAATGTAGACAAACAGATTTCTCCAGCCGGTCACGTAAACAACCGCAAAGGAACAGCAATCTTATAATCCACGCCGCATACCTCCTGAGCCGTTTGAAATTTGATTATTTTAGATAGTAAATTTACTCATAAATCTACTTGTTACCTACAAGGAAAATGGTTGCAGTTAAGGAAATTGGCAGGCATTATTTCCTTTGTTGTTTGCCACATTACTTCTACATAAACGATTATACGAATGTAAAACGCAAACATAGCGTTTATTAATAGTAGCATGTTACAAAAGCGCACGAAGTTTTTGGCGTTTGCTTTATTTTTTATTATTAGTCACGTAAAAACGGCTTTTTTATCTTTCGTTTTTCATACTGTACGACTTGTATTAACCATCGCAGATATAGGTACCTGAATCTTCACGGTTTCCGGTACTCGAGCACGTACCTGCACCGGCATACGGTTGGTCTATATTTTGATGAAACCAATTCATATGTACATATATATAAATATATTGATGGTATGTTAAAATAAGTTTGACTTACTATTCTAATCGATCAATTAATGCAATTTACGAAAAAGCAGCAGTATCTGGTACATTTCTTATTAGCTTATCCGAAACTACCTTTATACAATCGCAATACAATTTAAATAACATTACAGATTCACGTCTTAAACAGAATTTACAAGGATATTAACCAAATAAGGAAAAAACATCCTATAAAATTTGTTTGTACAAATATTTTGTATTCATGGCTGGACAGAACGAACAACCGGCTTCGCAATAGATTAGACAAGGGAGAGGGAGCGCGTTATTGTTCGCCCAACGCGTCAACCCGTGTCTTACAAGTAATATTTTGACAATTATTTTTTTTAACTAGAATGCGTTTGATTAGTTCGAAGGGTGTGTTGTTTGTTATAAATTGTTTAAATTTAGCAAAGGAGCGACGGGAACGACCTCATAACGTCACATAAACGGTCGAGTTTGGGCGCGAAAGTATCAGGCGAGCAGACTGAATAGGAGGTAAAACTTTTATCGAGTGTGAATGTTGGCTCGCGGCCGCTTTAACATCGCGACCAAACATAGTAGGCGGCGGCGCGATCACAGGTAAATTGGTCCAGAATAACAAATGCCAAAACAGTCACTGCATGTACGGTTTCCACACGTCCAGATTTTACACGGACATGTTTAAGTACTGAAGTCCGGGAAAGTCCAGCTGGAATTTAAATAAATGTCCAAATATTGAGCGAATATTTTCTTTAAGTGTGTATAATAATAACTATATTTAATTTAGACATAACCCTTCTGAGTTGACTTATCATATCATTAGAAAACTTCCGTTATAAACAAAGTTGATGAATTAGAGAAATACAACATCAGGTGGTTATTTTTACTCAATAAATGTTGCCAAATGTGTTTTTTTACAAGTAAATAGAGATTTTTGTTTTATGATATGATTGTTATCATACCATTTACGCATTTACCTCAATAATAAGTATTAGTTATACTTATATATTTATTTACGTTAAAATGTATTTTTGAACAGAATAAACTTTAAACTGTTTTTAATTTAATTTATCGTCCGGATTTTGTCTGGATATTAGGACTTATTTGTCCTGAAACTTTAGTAATGACAAAAATAATTAGATGTTTTATATTTATACTTATAGGAAAATCAATGTATTGCAACAAATGAGTAAAAAATATGTTCAAATCCATTCGTAGTTTTTTTAAAAGAATCAGAAAGCTATTTTTGACGATCGAATGGTGTATTTCCCAGTAGAAGAATGTTAAAATTAAGAAGCATTTTCACTTTAATAATTTTAGACTTACTAATTTGCTTTCAAGGTAATAAAGATATTGTTCGTAAAGTGTCCTGCATTAACAAACAAAACATGCTATCTTTGTAATTGTGCCATTAAGGCAGAGATATCTACTTACAAGAATTCATGAACCTTACACGTATTTTAATTGTTTTACTGTACGCTTATCAATTAATACATCGCCTTTAAATTGTGTAATACAACTGCAGTTTAAAAGTACTCTTACGAATTAATTAAAAATATATAAATATGAATTATATTTATTAAAAAAAAAGTGCTTTGGCCAGATAAGATTCAAGAGAATGTATTCAAGGATTAGAATTTATTTTATAATCGGGGTAATTGACTATCTGTATTTGATATTGTAACAGCTACGCTTTGTCCTTTGTGGGACATCGCTTGATTGAACGCCGCGCCTGATAATATAGAATAATAATATTTTGCGGTAAAACAAGTACAAACAACCATAAACGTCAACTTGATAGGTCAATTGTATCATTCAGTAAAACTGCAAATTTGTTACAGTTGTTTTACAAATTATAATTTTATTATATTAAAAACTGATATTTTACCAGTCAACCAAAGTGTATAAGATCATACACAGTAGGTAAATAAATAAATAATTGTTCTGTCACGCCTTCGTCGTAATTTACATTAAGTTAACGATTGCACAGAACACTGTTTACGAATAATAATAAATACATATGTAATCTTCAAAAAGATAAACTGTTTTCTTTTTCGTTTTAATCTTTTATGATTGTTTTATTAATATTAAACTGCAGAAAATTATTCATTCTAATTTATTTTCCTTAAAACACTTATAAAAGCATGCCTTAGGTAGGTATTAGGTAATCATCGCCTGAAGAAACTCTGTAGCATAGTGAGACATGTAGTAATCCTATAATAAACTTTTTGAAACTTTTTACTATTTAGTTTTTTCAGTATTAGGTAATATTTATTCTGTTAATTATGATAAATATTAAAATACGTTTTGTATGATTTTGATAATGATGCAGTATATCACACAATTCAATTTAATAGTAATGATCTTACTTTAAAACACCTTAAATCAATTTTGGACAGGTTTTTTTTTGCTGTGCTATAAATGAAAAACCGCTACTCCAATTTTAGTTGTTAAAACTTATTTTATCATGTTTATTGTCGTTATTTTAGGAAAAACACATTTCAAGTTGCACTGAAAAAAGTCAAAATGGGCTGGATCCCTTTAATGATGATGACGATGATGATGTTCGACGAGTTGCTCAAGAGTTAGAAGCAAAATATGTAATATTTTTTGTATTTTTACTTTATCATAAAAAAAATTAATAATGCGCTTTTAGGGAATTTCGTCAAAGAAAAAGCGACGAAAGCGAAAAAAAGATATTGCAATAGGTTACGACGAATCCGATTCGTTTATAGATAACACCGATTGCTACGATGAAATAATTCCCAAAAATATTACCACCCTTCACGGGGGTTTCTATATAAACAGTGGTGCTTTAGAATTTGAACGAATTGGAGGGGTCAGTTCAGATGAATCATCGTCGTCTTCTGAAGAAGAAGAAGTCCCAGAGAAGCCTAAAAAGGTTTATAACACCTCATAATTACTTCTAGTGTGTTTTTCATTCGTTGTTTTTTCAGAGACCCTTGGCATCGTCATCCGATTCTGAGACAGATGAAAAACAGAAAAACGAAAATAAAGAAAAGGTAAAGTAATCAACGAAAACATAACATACAAATTTTACGTGTGTATCGTTTTAGAAACAGAAAATGTCAAATGGAAATGCTAATGGCATACAAAAAGCTTTGAAGAATAAGTTGTTCAGCGATGATAAGATAAAAAAAGTGAGAAAAAATTCTACCGATGATGATAAAAAGAAAGCTGTCCGAGATCTTTTGAAAGAAAAACGAGACGATACAAACGTGTCTCTTTCATCATCAGAAACTCCTAAAGCATCTACAGGAGAAGTTGAGGTAGCATCCTTAACCAATATTGCTACTGTGATTGAATCTGTTGTAAATGCTTCCAATGGTAATACCATTCAAGTCATAGATGATTCGAGTAGAGAAAGTACAGGATCAAAAGAAAACCAGAAAACAGGTATTTTAAACATATCCATACGTAAAATATTCTTCTGTATAATAATTTAAAAACATTGAAGATATGGCATTAATTTTGGACGGAGACTCTAACGACGCTTTCCCTCAGAAACAAGAAGAAATCGTTAAATTGCCTGACAATATTCCTAACGACATACTTACTTTAATACACGAGATCAAACACGCAGCAGCGCAAAGTACCGAAGGGAAAGTTAAATTCTTTTCAGGTCCTGTCAGTACGATATTGTTGAGGTGGGAATTCATATTCAATTCTTATTATCTGGATGCCTTTCTAACAAGAATATTACTTTCAGCTTGGAACGTAAATGTCGAACTTTGAAGAAATCAACGCGTGTTAGGATTTACGAACACTTAGCCCCGTTTGTTCGGTGTAGGAAAGAAACTCTAATCAAACGTGCGAAAAATCTTATTCTCGAAGACGATCAGAAGAAAATTAAACATTTGTTAAATCAGTAAGTAAATGCAAGGCTTGCAATGTCAAGTATACCAACTCCTCTTTTTGTAGATTACATTCGGAAGTCCAAGAAGTTATGCCAAGTTTGTTGCACAGTTATGAAATCGAAAGTCAGAAAGTTTTGCAGAAAAGGTAAGCCGCTAAATAAACAAACGTGTAAGTATATATTGAAAATGCATTTTTCCTTCCGTAGGTATTCGAAAGAAGGTTTGGAAGGTGAAGACCTAAAATCGTTAAGAATGCCAAAGAGACGTTTCACCTGGACGGAAGAAACAAAGTAAGTCACATTAAATTTGCATATTAATTTCTTTTGTGTTGGAAAGAATTCTGGCTTATTAATCGAAAATTCTCAAAAAATGTTAACGAATGATCTTTCGGGATTGATGTCCGTGGTTGTAGAAATTTTCCATCCTCGCTAATCTCTCGTTTGAGTTGTCAGCCCAATGTTTTGTCCGCGGCTGTGGCAATAATCTTGAAGGTCTTCAATGAAATACCGAGTATTTTATCACAGTAATAGCACAAAAACAATCACACCTACCGGCGAAATGCTGGATAGACAATCTTAACCGAAGGATCATCTAGCGATTAACTCCAAAAAGCCACTACTTTACAATTAATAGCAAATCTAAAGTTATGTCAATGTATGTTACATTTTTTTTTAGGAAACTTCTTAGAGAAATTGTAACTGTTCAAAAGAAATGTTTTTTGATGGAAGGTAGAAATAAAGATAAGTTGGACGAATTGATAACCAGCTTCTTAAAATCCCATGTTCAGGTTCTGTGGCCAGAAGGCTGGATATCTATGAACAGCTTATTAAAGTATAGCAATTCCGAAGTCAAAAAGCAAAAGAGCATGACGATATCTAATATTACCAACATCAAAAACATTTCGATTTCCGATGCGGACGTAAGTAGGGAATCGACTGGAAACAGTTCGTTCGCTTCGAAAGTTCTGCCCCCAATAACTTCCAAATCTTCTTCGCTCACCATAACACCAATCATGCCTGCAGACGTACAGAAAAATGCGGAAGATCAAATCGCGAAAGCAAAAGCTTCTCTTCCAAGTGATATTATTATTAGTAATGTAAATAGTAACAGTTATAGTATTAAGGCAAACAAACCACTGCCAATGCCTATCGAAATTACAAAAACGATGCCGGATCAATCGATCTTGAACAGGCATACGCCGCCGTCCCAAGAGAAAGACGAATTCCAATTGATCCAACAAGCCATGGCCGAAGACCTTTCTCAAAAGGTCAATTCCACAATGAAAACCCCCGTTAGTAACATAAGTATTAGTCAAAACAAGAACTTCAAAGATACGTTTTCATCAGACAGGGATTTGATTATGGATTTAACCGAATCGGTCGAACTGAAACGCAAACCTGGACCGAAGAGTAAAACAAAATATTACGTGGAAGATCCGGAAAGACCTGTGAAAATTAAAAAGGCCACATCAGACAAAATGAAGGCTGGCAATAAAGATGGCTGCTTTAGTAACAAGGAAAGCGAGCAATATCCACAAGTCAGTTTCTCCAGCAAAGACAACAGATCAAACTATGGCATGAAAAGTCACGAAAGCGTCACCACCGGAAGTTACGCTTTGGATAAATTAATCTCCGATAGTCTAGCGGATGCTAAATGTTTCGCATCGTTAGATAGTTTCTCTACCTTACAAAAAAATTCGGCGGAATGTACTACGATAAATCTAGGAAGTGCCTCCACAGTGACCTTTCCAGTTAAGCCACGCCATAGTGAAGATGGAGACGAAAATCAGATCCAGGAAGTTCTCGAAGGACTGCGGGCACTCCAGAAAATGTCTTCGCCAGCTAAAGTGGACGATTATGGAAGAACTAGCGCACCGGCTTCTGTTATCACGTATAACTCAAAGAGTTCGTCTTCATTATCATCACCGTCTATAGGAGGAGTAGGTGGAACATCGTCGCAAAAGAGCGACGCATCCAAGAAACATGTGAGTGTATTCCACGACGAATTTCAAAGACAATTCATCAAATTCAATGAGCGAAAAACAAATCAACCGGCGCCTGCTCCTAACTCAAAGAATGACTTCAATAGGTGAAGTTAATCCGGTGTTTTATGCGAAAGTCAGATTTTATTAAATGCCTGTTTATTTACAGTGTTAGTAATAGTAGCTACTCGTCATTGCAGACAAATATAAAGGTACACAATTTTTAAGATATTTTTGTAATACGCGAAAGAATACTCGATAGATGATATAGATACCTTAAAGAAAAAGAAGAGAGGGAGGGGGAATTTAAAACCAAAACACGATTTACTAAAGCGTACGTGATATAACGATCATTTTTAGTTTAATATTATTTTAGGCCATGAGTAATAGAGAATAATAATTATTTCGGATATACCAACAAAATAATGTATTTCGATGAAATATACCCTTGAGTAGGTAATTTTTAATCACTATTTTCAAATGTTTTGTAAAGTTACTGAAACCATTATTAATACAAAAACGTCTCCTTAAGCGTCTTGGAGAAAAAATAGTCACTTAAAATGATTCAGAAATTGAAATGCTTTCTTTATTTACCACCAATAGACACCACAGATGCAAGTTGGATTTCAAAACCTAAAAGAATGTGAGATGCTGTTTCAAAACAGGCCATCTAATATTCGCCAATATTATTAAATCCGCATTTATTGCTATCATCTACCGTCTTTCCTATTCAACATCAAAAACGGATGACATAGAATATAGAAGGTGGCATGCATAAAATTGAGTGTTTCTCATATTTAAGTAGCCACTCCGTTTGAAATACATAAAAATGTGTCTCCTTAGTTGCAGAAATAGTTACTAAGAAATATCCTACTTTGTAGTGAGAGCATAAGTATACTCTCATACCTATAAAAATTTGAATCAGTACTCAACATTATTTTCCAAATTTCTTCCTTTAAAGACTTCTGTCCATACCGTAATTTACATGATAAATAGACTTAAAATGTTGAGATGTAACAGAGTGCCATTGCAATATATTCGTAAAAAAAAGTGTTCAAATATCATATAGGGATATTGTAGGTAGTTGAATAAGATTAATGATAGTAACTTCCATATCCATATTGGATCATTACACATCACTTGATTTAATCGTAGTAATTTTTTTACACGTTTGCTCATTGTTTAAAAAGAAACATTTTGCACAGTATTTAAGCATTTAATCGTTACATTAAATGAAACCCCAAAATGTGCAAAATGTATTATAACAATTAAATATAAATGCTTGAAATATACAGTGCAATATGAATTTTAGTTGTGCCATTACCAAGAAAAATAATGAAATTATTTCGGAACGGATGATCCAATTAATTTAATTAATGAGATGAATTATAAGCAGAAATATCTTGCATTTCAAAAAAAAAATCCTTAAGGGGCATTTTTAATTATGATTAATTTACAATTAGATCCTTGTAGATTGTAAAAATATTGAATTATAAAAAATACGACTTGTTACGAAAATTACATTATTTACAATGTCAAGTGCGAATAGTATAAGTTACCGTATCATAGGAATGAATTTGTAAATTATTTTTCTTGTTAAAAGAAACATCGTTTCATGAATTATATTTTTTTCTTGCTCATTATAATCTATCTTTTTTTGGTAGTTGTGAAGCCCATTTTTGCTAGCATCATTTTCAATTCTCTGTCTGTTATTTATTGTTATAATAATATTGTATTGTTTGCAGACGCCGAATAACAATTATGCGCAACCGTATTATAACAAACTCTTTAATAACATCAACAATCAACAAGGTAAACAAATGTGGTCTGAACACTATTTTAATTTTTTCTGAATTCATTATTTCTGACTTTTCTTTTTGTTAGGTTCCTATAACATGTTGCAAGACATGTTTGCGAATTTATTAAAAGAATCTGGCTACAAAACAGGTATGGGGTGTTTGCTATAATATTTATTGCTGTTTTCCGCTTTCTGCTCTTAGTGCCTAATTATTATTAGTTTTGCTTTTATTAATTTCATCTTAACGATTTTGGTGGCAGTTATTTTCTTACGTATATACAATAATATCTGCGTGGGTTGTGGGCACCCTTATTTCAAATTTAAAAGTAACAAATGGCACTTAAGACTAATCCCCTTATTTCAAGAAGTTTAATAAGAGGAAGGACGAATATCAATAAGCCCAATTTTGGTCATAAAGAATTACATTCGAAAAATGTGGATGGATTTTGTACATTTTCTGTAAGTGGTGGACAATCTGTATAAATCTGTAATAAAATAGCATTGTAAAAGCTATTCATAAATTATACACCTTTAACACCCCCGTTACGTAACATGAGCATTCTAAAAGTTTTAAACTTCAATTAAAGGTTTTTTTTTAATTTCCTAATAATAATAATTTATCGACCCCCCTCTCACCCCAGACATGAGGGACCGTCAAGAAAATCGTTTATCAACCAAATTAAACGTGCTTCATATTTTTCCTTTAGTTTTTGATGTTAGACAGATAGTCACTCTATTTACAGAAATTGTATAAAGTATATCCATATTTTTTCAATGTCTTTTTAATTTTGGGGAAGAAATTGAGCCTTATTAATATCCGTCCTTTCCACTGATTTTGACTTTTGTTCTATAACAAAATATACTTAAGAAAATTTTAAATTCAATAAATTTTACTGTTCCAAATTGGCAGTCACATAATAAGAATAATAGTATTACCTATATATATGTATAACTTCATACGGAACAGCAAATGAAAATTGATTTACTTAAATAAAAACGAATTTAATTTTACATTTTAGGAATAAAAGAATATATATTTATGGATCTAAAATTTTAATTATTATGGCTGTTTAATTTAAAAGTTTTTCGTTGCAATTTTCGTTGAATGCTAGCAAATGCACCCCCTACCTTTCGTATTAATTATTATTTCCTTAATTACGTAAAACTTTTCATTTTCAGCAGGTGATAAGTCTAATGTTCAGCAAAAATAACGGGCTCCAGTTTTTACCGACTTAATTAGAAATGAAATAAACTGCCAATGTATTTATGTATGTAGTTGATTTAATTGTACACGTTTGGTTTGTAAATTGTGTATATACTTTATATTGTGTTTAATGATCCATTCCATAGCGTTATTTATTTTATTTCTACTATATATACATATGAAAGGTATCGAATAAAGCGATTTTCTTATTCATTTTCGCCTTTTTATTGTTTTTATGCTATTAAAAATAAAAATCAATTTGAAAGTTGGTAACTATCTTTGTCCAAAAATATCTACATTTCTGGAGCCGGCAATGACATTCTGTACATCTTGTATGGAAATGTGTGTAATCCGTCATTGTATACAATTCCTAGGAAATGTATATAATTCCTAAAATCACCCGGAAATGTATGAAATAAATTATATCAGACACATTTCCTAGGAAATCTGTACATTACCTAAATAGCAATCGAAAATGTATTACATTCGAGATGTCAATGGGTACGGGGCGTTAGCGGAGCGAGGGGAGGGTATTCTGATTCTCAGTTTACTAACGTATTTTATACATTTCCTAGTACAATGTCGGAATTTTATATAATTCTCAGGAAATGTATACATTTCCCAGGATATGTGTGTATTAAAAAATCTTTGAAAAGATTTTTTATACATTTCCTAAATAGCCTTGGAATTGTATACATTACNATGGGTTTTAAAAAGGGCTGTAAAGTAAATTTTTAGATTACGTAAATCATAAGAAAGGGCACTGGAACATTTGCTAGCTATTTGCAATAATACTTACTACAAAATGATAATATTCATAAATCCAATTTATAAAAAACAGTATCTTCTTCATGAAATCTGACATAGTTTTCCGATTCTGTGAAAGTTCGTCATTTCCAAGTTCACACACACCCAGGGAACTTGGTACAGCACAATGGCATTTTATACTTTTTCAATATAAAAAAATATAAAATTATTTGTACCCCACGCGAATACTACAGTTTTTACTTTTTCTATGCCTACTTACACATAAAAAAAGGGATAGCAAATGTGAGAAACCAGTGTGTGATGATCACTCATCATTTTTCTGTGTACGTGTAGAATACCAAGCAATTAGACGATTGAATTATTTTATTTTGTTCTATTATCTGAAATGGAGGTATATGTTCATTTTTTAATAAAATCTTAAGTTACGCTTTTATATTTATATTCCGAAAGGTTCGGGATAATCAGTTCTAATATCGTGGTTAAAATATTGCAATATAGAGAAAATCTTTTACGACCCATGGGATCAAAGCAACCCACCCTATGCCATTGAAATTGGGCTAGAGCAATTAAAGGTTTAACAGGTGAAATCTATGAGTACACTAAAGGGACAAAACAGACCAAATTAATGCATAAGTCTAAAGGAGTTTGAAGTAGATTTATAAATGCGATTCAAAAGATGAGGATTATGTGACTGAAAGAATGACCAGTTCAAAGCAGGCCGGACAGATAATGTAGTACAGTGGCTAACTGTACCCACACGAAAAATTCCGATGGGTATTTTATTCACTCCAAGTTTTACGTCATTTGATAATTACGCACATGAGACATGAGTTTTATTGCATTTATATAATCGTATTTACATCGAGAAACTCAAATAATTTCAATATAAGACCTATTGAAAAAGGCATTGGATTGATGTTTTATGACAGTATCCAAACAGCAATTTAGGTACAATGATATTATAATGTGAATGTAGCGAAAGTTGAAGTTCGAACCCTAAGAATGGACATTCGGTCTAATTACCCTGATTTCTACACGATCAAATCATATAAAAAGATTGAAGTAGATACTGCTTTTAAATGCTTCTTATAAGGGTAAGTTTCTGAAAATATGGAAGAAAAGCTTTCAAATTGTTGCTAACCTTCATCTAAATGAACCCCAAATTCCGCGTCAATGAAAAGTTTAGAAATATTTCAATTTGGGGCGAGAAGCAGCTAATACATATGAATTCACGACCCGAGAGATTTTTTCAAAAAATCGTTCTTTATGATGTTTGACCAACTTATTTCGTTCCTAAAAAGTAGATTCGAAAGTGATTCAGCCCATTATTTTAAATCAACAATTTATAGTTTTTGCATTACGCAATTAAGCGAGCTTTGCGTAACTGATATTGTTATGTAACATAACAATAGTTTCAACAATATTATTTTGTTCTATCCTTTTTATCCCCACTCCTCCAAATTGCGTAAGATCAACTATTCATCTGGGTCAAACATCATCTGCCGGGCTTGTTGAAGGGTAAATTTAATGCAAAATAAGGGGTTTACAAAAGGGTATTAATAGCTTGCAAAGAAATGAAATACTACTGCAACACCTAATTTAATTTAAATAATTAGATGCATATGAATCAATAAAACAATTTCTGAAGAGAAGTATGTACTACTGTAAAATTATTGGGCCAAGATGATCGATTTGGTCTGTACGGACTAAGTACCTACCGAAGAAAAATGAACGTAAGTTATAACTAACTTTGAGTGCTGCATAAAATACGTTTCCGCTTATTTGTTCATGGTTATATAAGACAGTGCGAAAGACAGATATACCGTATGTCTTTGAATATTTACACACAAATTCCAGTAATGTTAAGGTGGCTTCACACGGCCCGTCATATCGCGAGTCGAGCCGCACCAGCACGCGCCAACACGCCATGGAAAGGGTGCTGTCCGAAAAGATCCGTGATATGTTTGATACGTCGCGAGTCGGTAGCTTCAAAGGCGCGGACTATCGACGGTAAGGTAACACATGATGGCGTGCACGGAAATACCTATTACTTATAATTTACCTAGAATTTAGTAAACAAAACTTTATAGTAATCGGCTTTTATTTAATCATGACATTCACCACTGCCTTCTGTTCTTCTTTCTTTTGCTAAGTAAATATGAACCCATAAACAAAACAAAAACTGAGACTACAACTGATATTCTATTTTCTTCACGCGACATTTTAGTAATGCTGAACCCTAGCTTGAAACTTATGCAGATGAACTCATACGGGCCGTTGGAAGCCACTTTTACCGGTATGCAGCCTCGCAATACTTTTACGCCCACTAATGTGAAGCAGTAAGTATGTGGGTTGTAAACAGGAACGCTAACTTGTTGAATTGCATAATAAAAAAAAAATGTGAAGGATGTTACGGTAGTAAACAGTATAAGGAATGGTTTATAATTGTTTTCATAATTCTATTATTTTGTTTTTTTGTGTAATGGCGACGCATTTGCGCGTATCTACAGTATAGTAATGATAGTGGTAAGTAATATAGATTAATATAACTTTTTGGGCTCTAAAAGAATGCTGACTGAGAGAGAGAGTATATTCTATCTCTGCTTTATTTAATATGACATATTAAATATTATTTATTACGTTGTAGTGTTATTACTCGCACTAAGAAGCCAAAAAGAAAGATATATTGATTTTGGTTGTACTTTTGCTATGTAAAGAAATTATGCCGTATTTCTACGAAATAATACATATTCAAAGCATATTTTGCAATTTCAAATTAACAGGTGTGCAACAAGATCATAAGCGTAGATAAGTACTTCACTATAAACTTCTTAAACATTTTAGTTGAAAATATAAACGATAGGTTTTATTATATGGTTGATTTTGTAATTTTATTAATAATTTGTTGAGTTCCTCAGTAATTATATAATTGAACGTTTTCGCTTAGTTACGTCTTTTTTTATGATAATTGCATTTAACCGAAAATCTTACTGTTATAAGGGCGTCACGTATTGTGCCACTAATTGTAAATATTGTTACAGACCGATTGCACATAGCTTGATTTGACCTGAATTAGGTAAAGCAATTAAAACTATGTATACCGGGTGTTGGCTTAAAAGCATAAATCAAGGTGCAAATTTCAAACTATATTTACAGAAAATTGTTGTTACACCAAATAATTGAAATCCTATGATCGATCATATTAAAAACGACAGCAAAATTCCGAAGTTTTGACGTGACAACGTCTTATAATTCGTTAGAGCCGGCTGCACGCACGAAAAAACATGACTCATGCTGCGTTACCTCGCTCTAAGGCGTTCCATTTAAGGCTTGAAGTGCAAGCGAGAGCGCGGAACGAGCGACAAAGAGGCACAATCGGCCTCCGCGTTCGGCAGCGTTCGACATCTGTCTCTCTCCTACTTGAGTGAGCGATGCGTCCGCGTGGACAGCTGCTATACAATAATACATTTCCATTTACCTCCTTCTCTATATCCATACAAAATATCTATCAAACAAATAAAATTAAAATTTTCTTTTGAAAAATGAAACCATTCCATCAGTACTTTCTTATGACGTTGTCACGTTCAACTATCGTCAGTAAACCGACTTCACAGACAACCGATTTTTTTTTATCGAAAATTACTCCTCCTTCGTGAACCCGTGAATATTAACGATATTATCGTGCAAAGCTAGACCTGTCGGCATTTACATGGTAAATTGCATAATCCTATTGTTTGAAATGGAAATCGATAAAAAAACAACTGACATACAAAGGGTATCGATACGGCTTGTTCGCCCGCAGGTTATTCACCCTTGACATCGCAGTAGTCGTATTTAAGTATTAATATAGTACGGGACAGATAATAAATTGTTGTAATACAAATGTAGACCTGGCCGATAACAATGTTGACTTTTTCCCATTTGTATCCGATAACGTAAAGAATTTCAGTATGTTCTAAATCGCCATGATGATATAGAAATAACTAACTAACAAAAATGACCTCGGCCAGCGGTGGTGGTGATGGCCTAGACAGGTCGGCGTCTACCAAGGAAGACGAGAAGTCGTTTTGCGCAAAGTTTACGAGCAGTGAGGGACACACTACCGTCACCAAACGGAGGGGTACGTTTTCTTATTACCCCTTTAATTTCGCTGCGAAAGAGTAGAAAACAAAACTTGGAATGTACAGGCCCCTAGTGAAGTATTCTGTTTAGGGGGAGGGGGGGCGCAACCCAATAACGAACTGCTGTACTTTATTTTTACAACTAAAAATTTACACACACACGCTCAAAAATATGCATTTATAAATAAAAAATAATTATGTTAAATCAACTTAATTTCAATGCACTGTGTATAAAACAAGTGGCTAATACAATAGGTTAACATCGAATTCGCCTGTGTTTAAGTTTCGCCCATGAATTCAACATATTGTTTAGGTCAAAAACAT